CTTTGAGCATAAGCTCTCATGGCTTTACTTTGGGTTTTCCCAAAAGGCCTCATACCAATGGAGATGTAATCCTTACTTATAAACCCATGATAATTCCCTAAATTAACCAATTTGGGACTTCCTCCCAACAATCCTCAACAGGAACAAATGCTTCTCTCAAAAGTGTTTGTGGAAGGAGTGGATTCACTTCAAAACAAATCATTTTGAGAGAATTCTATTTCATGCTGCTGCGTGATGAACTTTGTTTTGCCTCATAACATGAAATGAAGCAATCATCTGCAAGAGGAAGAGCTTGGTTTCTGATTATAGTTTCCGCATGCCATTACTTTTCCCCCTTTATATTTGAAGCATGTTGAATCTCGCCCTCTTAATAATTATTGTAGGTTATGCCTATGAGGAGCTATCAGAAGTATCTCCTGATCATCGCTTTCTTGCATACACTATGTATGACAAGGACAATGACTACTTCAGATTGTCTGTAAAGAATTTGAGTTCTGGTTCTTTATGTAGTAAGCCTCAAGTGGATCGAGTTTCTAATTTGGCATGGGCCAAAGGCGGCCAAGCATTGTTCTATGTCGTTACTGATCAAAATAAAAGACCATGTAGGTTGGTAATGCACAGTTACTCCTTATCAGTGTATTCTTCAGTTTTTTTTTCCCATATTGACTATGGTTGTGAAAATGAGATGGAATATGCTTGTTTTTTTTTTCTTTTTTCTCGTTTAGATTATATTGTAGCATGATTGGATCAACTGATGAAGATACTTTGCTTCTGGAAGAACCAGATGATGATGTTCATGTTTATATTAGACACACAAAAGACTTTAATTTTGTTACTGTTAATCGATTCACTCCTACATCTTCCAAGGTATGTATGACATCTTAAGAACTTCGTAGTTGGTACTAATGTCAGTTGCAATTATATATTTATTGTGAACCCTACATTTTAGGTCTTTCTGATTGATGCTTCCGATCCATTATCTCGTATGGAGTTAATTTGGGAGTGTGAAGGATTAGCTCATTGCATAATGGAACATCATCTAGGAGTGCTTTACTTGTTTACGGATGCTAATAAAGGTCACGAAGCAGTAGATTCTCATTATCTTCTTCGTAGCCCACTTAGTGTAGAATCTACTTCAAGAACATGGGAGGTTGGTTTTGTGCATTGGGACTTGTTGTCCTTTTTTATCCCCTTTTACTCTGAATGATCCAAAAACTTCAACATTTTCATGAAAATGGTTGTTCTTTTCTCCATCTTGATGATTCGTAGTCCAGAATTTCTTCTTAAGCAACCAATTTTCTAATGTGGTGCAGAATGTATTTGTTGATGACCCAAACTTGGTGATTTTGGATGTCGATTTCAGTCACACGCATTTGGTTCTTATTCTTAGGGAAGGACAGAAACTTAGACTCTGTGCTGTTCGGCTACCCTTGCCTGTTGGTGGAAAGGTCTAATTTCTGGAATTTTAGGACTTACTATCTATGCCTCTGGTTGCATATAATGTGCAGCAACACTAGCAGTTACCATATAATTAAGCAGGCCTTTGACTACCATTATTTATTACTTCATCTGTCATTTTTTATGTGCCAGGGATCGATCAATCTCAAAGAGCTTGAACCACATTTTCTGCCTCTTCCTAAGCACGTATCGCAGATTTCTTCAGGACCAAATTACGACTTTTATTCATCAACAATGCGATTTACCATTTCATCACCTGTGGTATGTGAATTTCAATTGTTCGTATATTCTTAAGATTGTTTTAACGCACGTGGTTGCTCATAACTGTATAGTGGCTGAGGCACCAAACTTTATGAAAATGAATTGTAGATTGCTTAATGGTAAAAGTTATGTCGATTATCATATCTTATGGAGTGTTGATGGGCAGTTTGATTCGTCTTTATTGTTAAAACTAGAACTGCTGGTTGCTAGAATCAGTAATATGAACTAGAATGATATCTATCCTTTGGAATGTAATGATTATAAGAACTTAACCTACTTAGACTTCAGGACAAATGTAATAATGTCTGACCGTTTGCTGCCCATTAATTGTTATTTAACTTTCAAACAGATGCCTGATGCTGTGGTTGATTATAACCTATCAGATGGAAAGTGGAATATCATTCAACAGCAAAGCATTCTTCATGAACGAACACGAATTCTTTATGGAACGACTTCCTCTGCAGCAGCATCAGCAAAAATATCTAATGAGTCGGAGATTTCTACGGGTGAAGCCAACTTCGATGATGATCAGATGTGGAACACCCTCTCTGAATTTTATGCTTGTGAACGCTTCAACGTCTCATCACATGATGGAGTTTTGATTCCTTTAACGGTCGTATACTCTTACAAGAGTAAAAGAGAAAATGAAAACCCTGGATTACTTCATGTACATGGAGCTTATGGTGAGCCACTTGACAAACGGTGGCGCAGCGAGTTGAAAAGCCTTCTTGATCGTGGCTGGGTCATTGCATATGCTGATGTTAGGTTCGTAAGCATTTATACTTCCTTGAATTCTGAATGACTTCATGGCTTGAACCTTTTATTGATTTAGCTATGATAAACAGCTTACTTTGGAAATGGTTTTAATTCATCTTATGAAAGTTAAACTTATTTCAGATTCCATCAAAAGTTCTATATCTCGAATTTGGCATCTCATTCCCTGTTGTTTTGTTTGCTTCCAGAGGTGGAGGTGGTGGGGGTAAGAAGTGGCATCATGATGGTAGGCGTACAAAGAAGTTTAATTCAGTTCAAGATTATATTTCGTGTGCTAAATTCCTTGTTGAAAGAAAGATTGTACATGAGGAGAAGCTTGCTGGTTGGGGCTATAGTGCTGGAGGATTTATGGTTGCTTCTGCTATCAATCAATGCCCAGAATTGTTTCGATCTGCTATTTTGAAAGTATGCTTCTATCTTCTGCATTATTTCTCTTGCATTTTATATGTTTGTTCTAAAGTTGGATGGAAAGATTCCTTTTAATAAGATTTTGTTCTTCTACTATAATCAGTTTGTTTTAAAAGAACTTTTCTTCAAAAGGGTGTGGGTAATTTTAGTTTTGGTCCATTTTATTTTTACTAGATCTTTCATTTTGTACCAGGTTCCATTTCTAGATCCAGTAAACACACTCCTTCATCCGATTATACCACTAACACCAGCTGACTATGAAGAATTTGGATACCCTGAGGAGGATATAGATGATTTTCATGCAGTTTGCAGATACTCTCCGTATGATAACATACAGAAGGATGTTGCCTACCCAGCTGTTTTGATAACCTCGTCCTTTAATACCCGGTAATTTTCTTTTCATATGCTAGCCGAAACATTCTTTATAAGGGTGTGAAAACCTTTCCTTAGTAGATACATTTTAAAACCTTGAGAGGAAGGCTGGAAGGGAAAGCCTAAAGAGGACAATATCTATTAGCGGTGGGCTTGGGCCATTAAAAATGGTATAAGAGCTAGACACCAGGTGATGTGCTAGCAAGGAGGCTGAGTCCCAAAGGGGGTGGACACGAGGCGATGTATCAGCAAAGAGGCAGCCTTGAAGGAGGGTGGACATGAGACGGTGTGCCAACGATGAAGCTGAGCCCCAAAGGGGGTGGACATGAGACAGTGTGCCAGTAAGGACGTTGTGTCTCAATTGGGGGTGGATTGTGGGGTCCCATATCAATTGGAGAAGGAAATGAGTGCTAGTGAGGAAGTTGGGTCCCGAAAGGGGGAAAATTGTGAGATCCCATATCGGTTGGGGAGGAGGAGAACAAAACATTCTTTATAAAGGTGTGGAAACCTCTCCCTAGTATACACGCTTTAAAACCTTGAGGAGAAGCCCGAAAGAGAAAGCCCAAAGAGAACAATATCTGTTAGCGGTGGGCTTAAGTTGTTACCTACTATATCGAGTAAAATGTCAGGATTGGACACTGACATTACTCGAACATGCTCTGAACACGTTATTCGGAGTATCCAATTATTTTTAGTTATTACTTCATTAAAATCTCTAGCAAGTAGGGACACACTTGGAAGAAAATTCATTGTTGAATAAATCTATAACGCATCCTTGTCCATGTTTCTTCCTCTAAAAAGAAGAATGGTTTGCAAATCATTGTTCAAAACACTGCATTTGTTTGAATTATCTGTGTTAGAATTCATCTCACTCTCACATTTCATAAAAGGCCTCGAGGCCTCGTACCAATGGAGGGAGATGTATTCCTTATAAACTCATGATCAACTCATTGTTTCATACATTCATCAAGTAGCATTGTTCACCTCCAGTCATTCTATGATGTTCAATCCACTTATCTCTCTGTCTTGTGCAGATTTGGGGTATGGGAAGCTGCAAAATGGATTGCTCGAGTGCGGGATTACAGTATTTATGATCCAAAACGTCCAGTAATTCTCAATATAACAACAGACATAGTGGAGGAAAACAGGTATTTGCACTGTAAAGAATCAGCTTTAGAGACTGCATTTCTTTTGAAGTTTATAGGATCGTAGGCTTCATTGTTTAAGAACTAAGTTCACATAATGAACATCACCTCCCATTGTGATATAAATCAAATCAAACACAATGGAAATGAGATTTCTTGGACACTATTTACTTGGAGATCGTAAGGCCATTGTTTTTTACATTGGTCATATCGCTCACAAATACGACCAATGGCCAATAATTACAAATGCGTTAATCTAGAAACTGATATCAATCCACATATGGATTTAGCTCTCATTATTCCATATAAGTCGGAAATTGCTATTTTCTTCTTGGGTTTGACACCATTTTATCCAACTTTGTTCGTTATTTGAAAAAGTCATGATTTACATAGAGTTGATAATCGAGGCGTTGATTCCCATTGCAAATGTGATGAACACAATCAATTGTAATGAAACGAGACCAAATTCTAATATTTTCGTTACGATTCGAAGAAAGCAACATATGGTTCTTGGATATGCATAAAGCAGCTTCAACTTAGGAAGAAATCCTTATTTCATCAACGCAAAGAAGGTACCAAATAAGCAAAGGGTTAAATATATATATATATATATCTGATTTCACAACCAAAGTTAAACTGGAAAAGGAATTGTCATTTATGAACACAATCTCTCTCTGATTACACTCAATTAAAGAAGAAAAGAAGACATTACCATAACTAATCCACAACCTGAACTTGCTTGGAAACTCAATTTGCCTCCCAAACTCAGCTTAACTCGACTTGTGTTAAACGAAACAAGATTCATCTAAGGTTGAATGCGAAACAAAGGCTGCAAAGAAACCACAACAAAATACAACACCATAAGGAAACAGTTTATCCATCCATTACAATAACTTTAATGGTTAGAACTACTTACCGTGTCGACACTAACGGGCTTCCCATCCTCTGCAATAACCTCGACTATGGTCCCTGATTGATCGGCCTGAAAAATTAGAAGTTTTTAAGAGAAGACATTAGTCGTCCCTACAGAGACATCCCATAAAATTGGAAGAGCAGACATTAGCCAGTTTGACTGAAACAAATGATCTGGGTAGCTGCCACCAGACGACATTATGCATGGAGATTTACCTCTATATGACTTAAACTCAACATGTCTGTCATAGGATATTTAGGCAGTACTATAGGGGATTTACTACTGATTCACATATATCCTCAGGGGTAAATAGTCCTAATGGAAAGAGTAAGAAACAAACTATAGTGGGTAAGATCTGAATTTGTTCACCATATATTGTTTGTACAAATGTTAACTCATAATTAATGGAATCGTGAGACCTCACATCGGTTGGAAAAGGGAACGAGGCATTCTTTATGAGGGTATGAAAACATCTCCCTAGCAAATACATTTTAAAAACCTTGGGAGAAGCCGAAAAAGGAAAGCCCAAAGAGGATAATATCAGCTAGCAGCTAACGGTAGGCTTGGGGTGTTACAAATGGTATCAAGATCAGATATCGGATGGTGTGCCAGCGAAAATGTTGAGCCTCGAAGAGGGATGGATTGTGAGATCCCACCTCGATTGGAGAAGGGAACGAAACATTTTTTATAAGAGTGTGGAAACCTCTCTCTAGCAGACGCATTTTAAAAACCTTGAGAGAAAGCCCGAAAAGGAAAGCCCAAAGAGGATAATATCTGCTAGCAGTGGGCTTGGGGTGTTACAAATGGTATTAGAGTCAGATATCGGACGGTGTGCCAGCAAGGACGCTGGGCATCGAAGGGGGGTGGATTGTGAGATCCCACCTCGGTTGAAGAGGGGAATAAAACATTCTTTATAAGGGATAAGGGTGTGAAACCTCTCTCTAGTAGACGCGTTTTAAAAAAATTGAGGGGAAACCCGAAAGGGAAAGCTCAAAGAGGACACTATTTGCTAGCGGTGGGTTTGGAGTGTTACAAATGGTATCAGAGTCAAATATCAAGCGGGGTGCCAGCGAGGATGTTAGGCCTCGAAGGGGGTGGATTGTGAGATCTCACCTCGATTGGAGAGGGGAACGAAACATTCTTTATAAGGGTGTAGAGACCTCTCCCTAGCAAACGCATTTTAAAAACCTTGAGGGGAAACTTGAAAGGGAAAGCCCAAAGAGGACACTATCTGCTAGTAGTGGGCTTGGAGTGTTACAAATGGTATCAGAGTAAGATATCGGGCGGTGCGCTAGCGAGGACGCTGGGACTTGAAGGGGGGTAGATTGTGAGATGCCACATTGGTTGAAGAGGAGAACAAAATCTTCTTTATAAAGGTGTGAAAGCCTCTCCCTAGCAGACGCGTTTTAAAAACCTTGAAACGCCTGAAAGAGAAAGCCCAAAGAGAACAATATCGACTAGCGGTGGGCTTGGGGTGTTGCAGTAATTATTGCTCCATCTTTCCCAAGATCTAGTCGCATCCATTTTCTTTGAAACATAACAAGACAGGTGATTCTTTACTACATAGGAGAATCAGAGGTTTGTTTCACCCACAATCAGGCTATTATAAACAGTAAAATTTTCAGTTTATGTGAATCCAATACTGTTTCGAACATACACCCACATCAGTAGACAATACTATGGAAAGTAAGGAATATACTGTTAGCAAATCAAACGAAGAACATGATATCAAACTAAAGGGAAGACAAGGAGATAGCAAGCAGTCTGGTTGAACATTAATCAATGCTCCATAAGGATGATAAAATTCAACATAACGTTTCACATTCACAAGATCTAAACGTATAAAGAGAGAAAATCTTACTTCAATTTCGTTCATTAATTTCATAGCCTCAATGATGCATAAGATTTGTCCCTTCTGTACTTTATCTCCAACCTATAAGAAGAACTCCTCAAAAAAAGCTCCAACAAAAGATTTTCGAAATACCATTTACTATACTAAAGAAACTCACCTTAACAAATGGCGGTTCTCCAGGCCCGGGACTACGGTAGAACATGCCCGCCATAGGGCATTTGAGAGGTGGAAGAGATGAACTGGTTGACTTGGCAGCAGGAGGTGAAGATGGTGAGCTTGAAACTGGAGAAGCAGGTGCTGGTAGTGCAGCAGGACCAGGCACAGGGGCAGGAGCTGGTGGTGCTACCGAGGGCAAGGGCGGGGGTGGGAGCGGGGCCGCATACATCATAGGAACAGCAGCAGGAGGTGGTGCTTGAGGTAAGGCCTCTTTTTTACGTATTGTCACTTCACAGTCGAGCTGTTTCAATTGTAACTCGACAATATCTCTTGAATCAACAAGCCTGCAAGTAGGGAGAAACATGTTAAACCACAGCCATATGTAGAGGAAAAGTTCAGTGATTGAGCTAGCTAACTTGATAAGGCTTGAAACTTGAGTTATGAACTCAGAGATTGATTCTTCCGTTGCCAAAGGTTTAGAAGATTCATCACTCAATGATTTAGCACTTCCATCCATAGTATCCTTCAATGAAATGGATGACTTGAAGAACAGCATGTTAGGAAGGAGTCAATACTTGAACAAAGAAAATCCTTTTGTAATAAAGCTTTCATATAAGCATACATACCTCATTTAATTGTGCTTGTATGAGAGTTGAATGCTTACGAACAGGCTGCACGCCCTGCGACGTAACGCTTATATAACATGCGTAATCACAACAAAGAGTTATCGGTATGACATCGAAAAGGGTTCTAGCTGAGGTGGTATAGTTCTATAAAAACATAAAAATTACCACCGTACTTGAACAAGATTTATTCTATAAGTTGTACAATTGCGTCTTGAGTTTTCAATTAGTCTGGCTCTAATACCATCTATAATAGGCTAAGCTCACTACTAGCAGATATTGTCCGCTTTGGCTCGTTACATATCGTCGTCAGTCTCACAGTTTTAAAACGCATTTGCTAGGGAGAAGTTTTCACACCCTTTAGAAAGAATGTTTTGTTCCCCTCTCCAACCGATGTGGGATCTCACAATCCACCCCCTTTTGGGGCCCAGCATCCTCGCTAACATAGCACCCGGTGTCTGGCTCTAATATCATTCGTAACATCCCTAAGTTCATTGCTAACAGATATTGTCCTTTTTGGGCTTTTCCTTTCGGGCTTCCCCTCAAGGTTTTTAAAATGTGTCTGCTAGGGAGAGGTTTCCACACCCTTGTAAAAAAATGCTTCGTTCTCCTCTCCAACCAATGTGGGATCTCACAATCCACCCTCCCTTCGGGGTCCAGCGACCTCGCTGGCACACCACCCGTTGTCTGGCTCTGATACCATTTGTAACACCCCAAGCCCACCACAAGCCGATATTGTCCTTTTGGGATTTCCCTTTCGAATTTCCCCTCAAGGTTTTTAAAACGCATCTGTAGGGAGAGGTTTTCACACCCTTATAAAAAATGCTTTGTTCCCCTCTCTAACTGATCTGGGATCTCACAATCCACCCTCCTTTAGGGCCTAGCATCCTCGCTGGTGCACCACCCGGTGATTGTCTCTAGTACCATTTGTAATAGTCCAAGTCCACTGCTAGTAGATATTATCCGCTTTGGTCAATTATGTATCGCCGTCAGCCACACGATTTTGAAACGCGTCTGCTAGAGAGAGTTTTCCACATCCTTATAAGGAATGATGCTTTGTTCCCCTCTCTAACGAATGTGGAATCTCACAATCCACCCCCCGAGCGTTCTTGCTGGCACAATGCCCGGTGTCTAACTCTAATACCATTTGTAACAATCTAAGCTCACCGTTAGCAGATATTGTTCGCTTTGGTCTGTTACAAATCGCCGTCAGCCTCACTGTTTTAAAACAATTCTACTAGGGAGAGGTTTCCACACCCTTGTAAGGAATGCTTCGTTCCCCTCTCCAACTATTGTGGAATCTCACAATCCACCCTTGAGCGTCCTCGTTGGCATAGCGCCCGATGTCTGGCTCTAATACTATTTGTAACAACCTAAGCTTACCGCTAGCAGATACTGTCTGCTTTGGCCCGTTACGTATCGCCGTTGGCCTCACGGTTTTAAAACGCGTCTGCTAGGGAGAGTTTCCACACCCTTTATAAAGAATACTCTGTTCCCCTCTCCAACCGATATGGGATCTCACAATTCACCCCCCTTCGAGACCCAGCATCCGCGCTGGCACACCGCCCGATGTTTGTCTCTAGTATCATTTGTAACAAACCAAGCCCACCGCTAGCAGATATTATCCGCTTTGGCCCATTACGCACCGCCGTCAGTCTCACGATTTTAAAACGAGTCTCCTAAGGAGAGGTTTCCACACCCTTATAAGAAATGCTTCGTTCCCCTCTCCCCTCTCCGACCAATGTGGAATCTCACAACCTAAAAGACCACGACAGGGAGATTTGAACGCGTATAGACCATAGATAGACATAAATAAACTTTACTAAACTGTGGAAATTCAGGGAAAGAAAGTACAAAATACGGAGAACTACTTACTAACTTATCACTGATTATAGTCTTTTTAATGGCTACTCAAAAGGTCCCACTTTCCCTTTCCATCCTTAAGTATATCCACACCTTTAAAGCTTTGGGAGCTTCTGAACGTATCCTTGCTTCTGTTCTCAAACTACAAAGCATTGGAGAAGTTGTAGGAGTTGGTTTTGTACACATTTCCAGTAATTTTACCCCTCAACTATATGCATTTAATCTACGATTCTCTTTCATTCTTTTAAATCCCTTTCCAAACGAATCCTCCAAGAACAGTCTTCCAGTCACAAAACCAATTAGCAGCAAGTACACATTAACCCACCAACGAATTCAAAAGAAACCCACAAATTCACAGACCAGGACAGTCATAAATCGAAACCCAACACAAAAAACGACCAGAATTGGCAGAAATTAGCACATACCCTGGTGAAGATTCTGAGTTTGGGGGTGTGGGGGAGCCGAAAAGACAGGGCGCAATGAGAGCTCTTGTGGTTGATACAGCAGCGAGCAAGAGATGGGCAGGTGGGCTTTGCGACTGCTGAAGCTGAAGTGACCGAGGAAGCCATTGTGGTTCAAGAGAGAGCGCTTAGGAGGGTCCGTCAATGGGGGAATGAAGGAAATAGGAGGGAGTTGCAGGGGGCGGGTGGAAGAGGGTGGGAGAAGGTCGATGAAACCAATGAGACGGGCGAGTGGAAGATGAGATTAAGTCGCTCTCTCACTCGCCCTTTGCTGCCACTCACCCGAACCAACCGGCTCCTCTTCTTAGCTACCTACGAAAACAATACATCTAGTTCTTCTTTTTCTTTAATTTTTAAAAAATGCATCTATCGTTATAAAAGTTATAATATTACTCTTCGACCCAAAAATGTAGAGGTTACGTCGGAGCTAATAAAAAATTTTGTTCTTTAGAATTTCGTCGTTTAATGATAAGCGAAGACGTTGGTTCTCTAAAGAGAGTGGATTTTTGAGATCCCAAGTAGGAGTTGGAGACGAGAATAAAATATTTCTTATAAAAGTATAGAAGCTTCTATCCAATAGATGTGTTTTAATATCGTGAGACTAACACATATATGTAACGAGCCAAAGCAGATAATATCTTCTAGTAGTGGGCTTGGGCTGTTACAAATGGTAACAGAGCCCGACATCGAACGATGTACCCACGAGGATGCCTACATTGGTTGGAGAGAGGGACAAAACATTCTTTATAAGAGGGCGATGTGCCAACAATGTCGCCCCATATCGATTGGAGAGAAGGACGAATTATTTCTTATAAGGGTATGGAAACTTCTCCTTAGTAGATGTATTTTAAAAACGTGTGGCTAGACGATGATACGTAACAGGTCAAAACAGACAATATTTTCTGGTGGTAGACTTGAGATGGTACACAAACACACATGTTCTCATACTCTAACTCGAGCTTGTTGATACGTAACACGACTTCCATGACATATTAACGATATGTAACATTTAGTTACCCGTTTTTGTTACATGATTGTAGGAGCCTTTGGAGAATTTACCGAGTGATTCCCCTACCATCGGTGAAACTATGGAGGATATGGCCAACCCCAAGAACCAAACCCTAGCAATTCAAGTGAAACTCATATCATAGAGGAACAGAGAGCTCGGATGGAAGGCATTAGAAAGAGCTGAAGCCAAGGCCCGCTCGTTGCCAAATGCCTGATTCATGTGCTTGCTTTGCGTCCATGACATTCAAAGTGATGGCTAGTAAAGGAGTACACAGGTTGAGTTAGGTTGGAAAAATATTTTGAATCAACTTAAATTAAATTTTGTGTTAGTTAGGTTGGTGTCTCCAGCAGTCCAAATAGAACTCACAATTCAACTCAACTCTTTATTTTTGGGTATGGTTGAGTTGAACCTGAATTTCGAGTTAGCTAGGTTAGTGAATCGAGCAACCCAAATAAAATTCACAACCCAACCCAACTCTTTATTTTTGAGTTAAGTTATAAACTCTATTCGAAGGGTTCTTTTACTATATAATTATTTTAAATCAATCATATTTATCTATCATACACAAGTCACAATGCATCATTAACATCGGTTACAAACGTCAAGTATTCTTAATCTTTACAATAATTTTAAAAGTAGGGATCGATTGGGTCACAGTCCTATTTTTGGGTTGATCGAGTAAATGTCAACCCACGAACCAACTTAAATTTTTCGATTTTTCTACAAATTCAACCCGACTCAATTCGAAAAAAAACTTATTCTTAATTCTAGAAAATTAGTCAATCAATCCTTAAAAAACCTACCACAATTATTCTATTTGTTAATAATAATAATAATAATAATAAAAACATGACATGAGGTCCACATCTATAATGGTTGCCACATTTTGCATTAATTAATATATATATATATATATATAATTTAAAAATATAACTAAAAAAGTAAAGTAATTAAATTGTAGGTCTTTTGTTTATTCCCAATTTTAATTATTAATTTAATAAATCTTTTTCATCATTAATATATATATATATATATATTGTAAATATTAGTTTTTTGTTTTTTGTTTTATCATCCCAAAATATACATTTTTTATAAAATAATATCATAAAATAAAATAATATTTTTTTAATATTTGTAATTAAATATAATACACACTAAAGATGGAATATTTTTAGAAAATTAATTGAATATGAATTTATTATATAAAAAAACACAAATATCGAAAAGTAAATTAAATAAATTTAGGGTATTATTAATTTTGATGTGTGATGAAAATATAAAGTGCTTAATTATTCTGTTGCACGTTTAATTATTAATTATATTTCCCTAATTACTTTTATTTTTATATGTCGGTGGAATTGAACCGGGTGACCGTTGAGCACGGCCTACTACTGCCATTCCACCGCCCTCTGTCGGCTTGTCCCTGCCTTTTCCGCCGCTACACGTTCAACGGACACCAACTTCCGACACTGCAACTTCAGTCCTTTTCGGTTTTCGAGTCGTAGCTTATCAACTCGGTCAATGGATTGATAAATATTTGGACTTTTACTCACAACGGTTGCCGAATATCAAAAATTTAATTCTTTAGAACGAGTTAGGAATACGGTAACAAATCATGAGTTATTAAAGCTTTTTTGGTTTTCGAGTCGTAACTTATCAACTCGGTCGATGGATAGATAAATATTTGGATTTTTACTCACAACTGTTGCCGAATGTCAAAAACTTAGGACACATAATTTAATTCTTTAAAACGAGTTAGAAGTACGATAACAAATCATGAGTTATTAGGGTCAGTATTGTACTCGTGTTCGTGATTTGGGTTAGGTCAGAGTTGAGACATTTCTTGGACTCAACCTAATCGTTCCGTCAGTTTTTTTTTATTAAATAATGAATCCAACTCAATTCAACTAATTTATTTATTTTCCGACCTAATTTAATATAAGTTCATAATTAAACGTACGAATTGGATCGGGTTGATCAGACTTTTTGAGGACTCGTGCTGGTTCGTGGAATGATATTAACGTTGAGAAGTTAAAAGTAAATGAAGTGACGGTATCGTGGAAAAATACGAATTGGGTCGGGTTGATCAGACTTTTTGAGAACTCGTGTTGGTTCGTGGAATGATATCAACGTTGAGAAGTTATAAGTAAATGAAGTTAGTGGAAAATATTAGATATTGAATCTGAATTTCAAACCCTAATAGAGTAGTTTTAACAATTCATCCTATAAAATTTTAATATAAACAGTCCTCTTCTTCTTCATCACCATTTGGCATTCACAAACAGAGAATTCCCTGTTCTTCTGTTCAAACCTTGGAGTTCGTAGGACGCCATTTTTACACCTTGGGATTGGTTTACAGAGGGTTTTTGCTGTGCGTTCGTAGGCGGCGGCGATGGATTTGAGCCGGCGGAGGGCGGCGGTGGCAAGGGGCAACGTGGTGGCGGGGTCTGTCTGGGAAAGCAGAATCCGATTCGATGAAGTCCGTGGTGGGATTAGGGTTTTCAATGGAGACGATGAAACCGCCGAATGTAGGGTTCCGGCCGCTACCGTCGGCAGTGCAAGGAGGAAGACATGGAAATCCGATGAGAGTTTTAACTCGATTCAAATCGCCGAGGAAAAACCAGAATCACCGAGTAGCGGCGATGAACCGAATCGGAAAACCCCGATTCCGTCTCGGAGATTGAGATCCAACAACAGTCCAAACAAACCGGTACGAATAACAGAGAGAAACTCGACGAGGAAGAAAACCGATCAACCTCGAAAATCGGCCGTCGGGATTACCAAACCGCCGATGAACACGAACGGAATCAGAAAAATCTCCCCGGAGAAGACGGTTTCATCTCCTCCACCTCAAGATTTCTTCGATGCATTCGAAGAGATTAAGAACGAAAGCTTCGACGTTAAGGAAATCAATTTTCCAGGACAAGAAATTTTCCCGGGAAACAAACAGAAATTACAGAGACTAAGTGAGAACAGAGCCTCCCACTTTCATTACAGAATCTCAAAATTTAATTTCCTTAACTGTTTGGTTTCTTGCAGTGGATTTGATAATGTGGAGGGAGTTTTCAAGATCCGCCATGGCATTTGGAGCGGGGAATTTGGTTATAGCCCTCTCTTATTTCATCAAGAACATGAACATCAGGTAATAAAAAAAAAAACCCCAAATCCGCCATTGAAGAAAGGTTTTTGAGTTTTGTTTTGTTTCTGGAATTTGCAGCTTTATCAGTATGATTTCGCATATGGGTCTTGTTTATCTGGCTGCCATTTTCGTCCATAGCTCCATTTTTAGCAGGTGCTCGATCAATTTCGTCCTGTTTTGTTTAGGTTAAGCTCTGGTTTTGCATTTAATTTTCCCGGGAAAATTACAGGGGAAATGGAAAGGGAATCGATAGTGATGATGAACATTGTGTGGTTGAAGAAGAAGTGATTCGATTGGTTAAAGGGTTTGTTCCTTTCGTGAATGAATTGCTGCAAAATCTCAAGCCTCTGTTCCATGGAGATCCTTCTGCAACTATGAAGGTAATTTTCTTTTCTTTTCTTTTTTTAAATTAAAAAATATATATACCCTTAAATTTTCTATTTTCTTTACTCAATAATACGTTTTTTCCAACTAAAATTATTTTATTTAAAAAATAAAATATTAATATTTTGTTTAAAAAATATTTTTAAATTTTAATAGTATTTTAAATATATTATTGAATTTTAAAATATTTCATTAATATCTTTCTATTTTTATTTTTTAAAAAGTTTTTTTTTAAAAATAGACATATAATTTTATAAATAATATTAAAATTATTATTTTCAAACTTTGTAATGTTATTCTTGAAAATTCAGGTATAATTTTAAAAATATTTTTAAATATTTTAAAAATGAAAGCTTATTATTAATGAAAATTCATGCATATTTTTTAAATGTGTTATTAACGATAAAAATATTTTTAAATTTTTAATTTTTTTTAACTTATTAACAAAAATTTTGAAAATTCAAAAGTATTTTTAAAATATTTGTAAAAATTAAACGATATTTTATAAATATTTTTGGGAGTGTAAGAATATTTTTGAAATATAGTAGACTATTTTTAATACATTAAAGATATTTTATAAATTTTTTGAAAATTTAAAAATATTTTTATGGTTTAAGAGTATTTTAGAGATAAAAAGTAAAATTTATTGTTATTTTTTTACCATTTTTGAAGAGAGTTAAAAATGGGCAATTATGGTAAGAAATATAGAAATATAGAAATATATGGTAAAAAAAATGTAATAAATATTATTAAAATTTAAAATTGTTTGG